TTGTCGTAGATAACATTGCTAGCACTGATGATGTTGCCTAACTTGGATAGGTAAATATCTCAGAGAGAACTAAGGACCATCCTTGCTTCAAAATGCCCCATAAGAGTCAATATATTCTGTAAGGTAAGGCCCTAAATGATAATGACGTCAAAGAAGAGAACTTCTTCTCTCCGTGAGAATCACCGTGATCACTCATGAATATGCCTGCCATGCTGTCCCAACCCCACCTCTCATGTCAATCAGTTACTGTCAGCAAAGCACATCTAACACCTTCCTCATAGCAGAGGTGACCTGTTACTTTATTGCACTATGATGCTAAGCAATTTTCAAGTCATGATGGACAGATAACGCATTTCAATATCTTCCCAGAAGACTGCAATAAATAAAAGTTTTGGTTGAGGCATATTCCCTATTCAGAGTCTCTGTTTGTTATCTGTCAACAATTTCCTCCTAGTTGTTCTTAAATATTAAAGCTAGAAGCATGCCATTTCCAGCTGGCAATCTGCCTAGCTGAGTTTGACTCTAAGCATTTTAAGTGTATCCAAGATTTTGTGCGAGTTTATTGCCACCTTCTACTGCAAGATGCAAAACAATTGCATTTTAACCTTATGCAGATATTTGTCTTGTCATGTTCACATAATTCAGTGATATATATCAGTTGTCAACATTATAGGAGGGGAACCGTGTTAGACGGTGGCAAAAATATATCCTGTGAGCTGCAACTCACAAAAGCTTACATCTTTTAATAACATCTGTTAGTTGGAAAAGATTATATCGGTTGTCACATTTCCAGGGAAGTAAGAATTTCTTCTCTCCAGATTGAACAGACTACCCTTTAAGACATTTAAGTATTATTTTAAGTTTACCGAACATCAAATGCTGTAAAACTATGATAGTAAAAACATACCTGAATATTTTTTAAAAAACTACAACAAGCAAAACATTTTAATTTGTGGGAATTTAACTAGTGTGTCTATTCAAGGTAGTTAAATCATCTACAAACTACAGACTCCCAGTTTAAACAGGGCAAATTTGAAATGCCATTATGAAGGCAGATGTGAACATTCATTATATGATCTAAGTTCTTGCCGTTTTTCTGAAAATTCTATTTTTTATAAAATCCACAATTCCTGCACCATTCTACTGGATATGTGTGAAATATTCCCACCAGATCTGTAAATTTAGTACAGATCAAGCAGAATATGGCAGAAAGAGAGCACATTACATGAAATTCCTAGTTTGAAGTTTATCTGGGATAAATCATCAGGTTATCAGTAGGAAGTGATTGTAGAAGGACTGGGCATCTCATTGGTACTTATTATTGTGTATATTTTAAAAAAATAATGTGTAAAATATGTTTATGTTTCATTTAAAAGGTTCTCATCAACAAAAAAGTAATGAACTATAGCCATAGTTTCTCAGAAGCTTTGGAAAAAATATATTTATTTAAGATCAACATTCAATTATTATATGCTTTTGTTCATTTTTCCTCATTAAAATCAATGGGCCCAAGAAATTGAAATGGGATCTATGGTGAACTCAGAACATATTTTAGTTTTATTGCTTCAAAGAAAAAGTATTAATATCATTTTAAAATTTGAGACCAATGCCATGTATGAAGCTTGAAAAATGTTCCCAAGCCAAAAATTAAAGCTTTGGAAAAGAAAGTTCACACATGCAAAACAGTCCAAGTGACATAAAATGTCTAAGTTTGCAATCTCAGATGTCAACGGCAGCAGATAACCTGTTTCTGTGACACCTGAATATAAGCACCATTGATTATTTTCCAGAAGTGGTGAAAGATGTTAGGGTGATGCCTAACTCATTAAGCTGGCTTATCATGTGTGAAAGGTACTAAAAGAAATACCAGAAAATGTCACACAGATCTGTGTTATACATGCTAAATATCAAATGGAGGATGGTTGCAATATCATATGAAAAGCAACAGTGTCAGTAGCCATTTTGATCAAAGTACTGCTTTTTAGCATTTTAACCCTGATAGTTTTCCTGTCACAAACTCAACTGATAACTTGATGTTTTTCTCTATATTCTTGCTCTCTGTGGAATGCACAAACATACACATGCACACAAATCACAAAACACACACACACACATTTTCTTCTGACTGTCATAAAATACCTTAAGCTGACACCCCGTTAGTAATGAAATGAAAAAAAAAAAACCCTGCAAATTCACAATGAAATAACTGATTCCCCAGACATAACCCTTCTGTGGAGATGAAAGCTCAGTTATTTAAGAAGCTGTTTTAGGGTGTTATTCTTGTGCTTTATCCACCTTTGAATTTGTTTATCCTGTTTCTGGCTTTATGTTTAATACCTCCAGGGATTTAAAGCTGAAATGGTATAGAATAGAAAAGCAATGCAATAGAAACAATTTGCTTCCTCTCCTACATGTCGATGTTTTCTGTTTTCAGCATACAAGAAAATAGACATGATTGTTAGATATATGCACAATGACATATAAGATTTATTGCACTAGATACAAGATGATTTTTTCCAATGGTCAGATTTTGTTTAAAAGTATATATGTATTTTGTTGCTATTTGATTGCAGTGGCTTTGATTCTAATGCAGTTTTCCAATAGCTCTTACTGTAATGTATGTCATTAATGAATGTATAAATATATAATCACATTGATGAGTTCAATCCTGAGTTGCTAGAAAATATTTAGTCAGCACATGTTGGTGTATTTATGCATGTGTGTGTGTGTGTGTGTGTGTGTGTGCGTGTGTGCGCGTGTGTGTGTTATATTGTATTTATTAAGTATAAAAGCATAAAAACATAAAACACAATTATTCACAGATAAATATTTTCCATAAATTCCATCCATATGTGAATCAGGTGAATACTAAATTCTGCTGTTTTGTTCATACCTCTTTCACTACCCTAAGGGCAATGTCATTTCAATTTTTGTGGCATGTTAAGAAGGAGTAATGGAGAAATGCAGTACAATCTTATTTATTCAATGCCTCTTGTATGATTATATAGGGTTAGGTATGGTAGCAATGAGCTTGTACCCAAACTTTATCCCTTAAATGTTTTCATAGTTTTCAATTGTTGAACATATAGGATAGATGAATGGATAAATGGAAAAAGAGAGACAGAAATGGAGAGATAGAAAGAAACAGAGATAAATAGATGAGAGGGAGAGGGGGAGAGGGGGAGAGAGAGAGATGATTGATTTATTTTAAAATTTAAGAATAAGTATTTAGAAATAATGGCATAAAAATATATCCAAATATGCTGTCATGTCCCTTTTTGGATGACCGGAGGCATATTTAATATTACAGTAGAATTTATTCCTCTTCCCCTCCCCTCATCTTCACCTTGCCCACTTGTTTTCTTGGCCATATTTATATTAACAACGTCTACTTTTTGAATGTGGCTGCTGGCACATAAGATTGAATATAACCCTCCATCCACACAAGGTTATGCGTGCATAAAACAAAAATCTTCCAAAGCAAGCAGCAGTCCTTTAGCTCCCTAAAGCTTCTTTTTCCCAGCCAACTGCAAAATCCAGACTTGTTTATCATTCAGATGCTCTGTTCAAACAATTCATCACTTCTTTTGATACATGTACATGCAAAAGGGAAGAAGGGCAAAGCATCGATTTCAGCCTCTTCTCTTGCTAAAGAAAGGAATTCAAATAACCATCACATATCATGGCCAAGTAATCAAGTTCTACAAAAATGCAAACAGATTCTCATCTTTTTACTTGATAATATATTATGTACACACACACACACACACACACACACACACACACACACTATATATATATATATATATATATATATATATATATATATATATANTTAGTTAGTTAGTTAGTTAGTTAGTTAGTTATATAGTTATATATAGTTATATAGTTAGTTATAGTTAGTTATATATATATATAAACCTGCCCAGAGCACCAGGTACTGTTCCAGTATAGTGCTCCAGAGGGCCCATCTGAGCTCCTTACCTGACCTTTAAAGCCTTCAGCGCTTCCGCACAAGTGCATGGCGCATACAGCGCCTGCGCGATGCTCCGCTGAGCAGCTGGAGCATTGCGGAGGCTTGTGGAGGCGTCACTGGAAGGTAAGACGCATGCATACGCTGCACGTGTGTGTGCACACGTGCACTTGTGTGGAGGACGCCGGGCCGCATTGCACCCGTACCAGTTGCAATGGGATCCGGAAACCACCACTGGAACAAAGCCCCCTTAAAGAATGAAGCACTTTTAAACCCAAATATCATATTTATATTAGCCTGTTATGGCTTGTTATTCTGAACCAAACCACCAAGAAATTCTTTTGGACCATACCCAGAAATAGGTATTTTAGGAATGTTTTGATCATTCGATCTTGAGCAAACTTTTAATCAAAATGCATAGGCTTCCGAGGTGGCGCAGTGGTTAGAGTGCAGTACTGCAGGCTACTTCAGCTGACTGCTGCTGCAGTTTGGCAGATCAATCTCACCAGGCTGGTGGGTTCAGCCTTCCATCCTTCCGAGGTGGGTAAAATGAGAACCCAGATTGTTGGGGGCGATATGCTGACTCTCTAAACTGCTTAGAGAGGGCTGCAAAAGCACTGTGAGCGGTATATAAGTCTAAGTGCTATTGCTATTATGGTTTGGGACACATTTTTTATTTTTAGAACAGAAATAATCAGCTGGTCTTCCCACCACCCTTAAGACGAGTCCTTTAGCCCAAGAGGTTGCACTCAGTGGTAGGTTTCACTTATTTTTACCACCGGTTTGTTACACATGTGCACACTTGCTTCGTCCACGCATGGACCTTCTGCGCACGAGGCCAGCCTCAAAAACATGGCTAAATAGGACATCATACTGCTGAGATGGGTGGGCAGGTCTACCCGTGATCTCCGCTACCGGTTCGCTCAAAGTGGTCCGAAATGGCTGAATACCACCTCTGGCTGCCCTGTCTTCCTATAGTGGGGAGAGGACACAACTTCAGAGCACACCACGGTAGTTTTGGTTATACCTTCGCCAGGGTTTGTCTTGGCCGTCACTTGTTCAGAGGCATTATGGCTACCAATCGTCCGAGAAGGTTCGCTGTGGTTTGCACTTAATACATTTTCACCGAGAGCTGTGGCAGAGAATGCAGGATACTTCATAGCTGAGGTCTGGAACAGTATGTTTAACAACATGTTTAATCATCTTAAACTTTGACAAAAGAAAGCCCATGAATGACTCTCCTTAATTACTTAATATCTCTTTTCCATGCAAAAAATATATATGAGGTGATCTAATAATTTTACTCCCACTTCACCTGTCTGTGGATACTCAGGATCAATATTTTTCTTTAAAAAAAATAAGGCATTTCCCATTTTCTCATAGAACCAAATCATCAGATTTAAACATATACATTGGAAACTCATCCGGGGGGGGGGGCATTTGATCTCTATGACCCCCACCCATCAACTGTGCCGCTGGGGTTTTTATAGTAACCATTGAGACTCTCACCCACTGACTTGGCAACCGAGTCATACCCACTTTGTTATCTAGACAGGGACAGATGAACTGAATCTTGAAAAATGATTTTTTTAAAGTACAAAGTTAAGTTTTCAGTTTTCAGTTTTCAACTTTGTTCTATTGCGCCAAAAGGAATCAGAAGTCAATGCTTTTCTTTTTCCCTTCTACCCTACACTTTTTTCTGTACCCCTTTCTCTCCCTTATTTTTCCATTATTATGTGAACAATAATCTTTAATAGAAGGAGAGCATTTAGAGAAGCTTTGGGCACAACATCACTTGGCCTCCTGGCTGCCTCTGAGTAGGATCGCTCCCCTAGGTTTACATCACGTCAAACCATCTACTTGAAACCATGTTTAGGGTTTTAGATATGGATCTTATAAGCTTCATTGAATCATTCCTTATTCAACCTGTTGGCGTTAGGTTTGGTACTGTTGAAAGATGAAATTTCAGGATGCCAATTTTAATTATGGCTGGAAACCATTTTCTACAACTTTCTATGATGATGCAAGAAAGCTACAATAATGAAATAACATAATTGTTTTCACACCATCCCACTATCAGAAGCCAGAATTTCTAATTTTATACTAATTTATATTTTATGATATGACAAACCTCTAACAAAAACATATCCTGAAAAAACTTTCCATTGAAAAAGTAACATCCTACTAAAAGTAGCAGTAACTTTTGTTGTGTGGTTGCTGAGTAAAGTGCAATAGAATTTAAACTCAGTTAAAAATAAGCTCTATTTTTTTCCAGATTGATATAATCTGAGCTGTGGTGGCACAGTGGTTAGAGTGCAGTATTGCAGCATTGCAGGTTAACTTTGCCCACTGCCAGGAGTTTGATCCTGACTGGCTCAAGGTTGACTCAGCCTTCCATACCTCCAAGGTCGATAAAATGGGAACCCAGATTGTTGGGGGCAAGATGCTGACTCTCTAAAGTGCGTAGAGATTGCTGTAAAAGAACTATGAAGCAGTATATAAGTGCTATTTCTATTGCTATTACACAGAACGTGCACGAAAGAAATTCTGCTTAGTTAGTTGAAATGTACTCTCTCATAAATATGCTAGACTTATACCCTCAGGTTATTTTTTTACCTTTACATGACCATTTAATGATGAGGTTGCATTTTTCTTGTTCTCTACTTGCATGCCATTCACATGAATATCAACAGGTGTTAAGCCAGGAGGGGGAGACGGTGTGCTTTGACTGTAGTTGGGCACTCCCGACAACAGGATACTGGTTAATGTGGCTTGTGCAGTAGGCGGCATCATCAGGTGAGGAATAGCAGAGAAACCTGGAAGAAAATGTCATAGGTTCTGCCTTATTTCTGCCGAGATTGAAGATGTCTAAAGTCCTAAACAGATACAGGGAGTCCTCAGCCTACGACCACTATTGGGAACTTCTGTCACTAAGCAAAGAAGTCATTACGGGAGTCACACTTGATTTTACAATCATTTTTGGTGCAGTTAACTGAATCCCTCAGTCATTAAGCAAATCTAGCTTTTCTCACTGACTTTGTTAAGCAGGCTGGGAAGGCCACAAATGCTGATCTTATGACCCTGCAACCGTCATAAATACAACCCAGTTGCCAAGCACCTGAATTTTGATCACTTGATTATGGGAGACGTTGCAAGGGTCGCCAGGGGTGAGGAAAGTCAATTGGCTTGCAAAGAGATGCAGAAGCTTATACCGTGTTTCCTCAAAAATAAGATAGGATCGTATTTTCTTTTCACTCCCATATTATTGGCCTTACTATCAGGGACGGGGGGCTTATTATTTTCTGGCACTTCTGGCAGTTGCCAGGTGGGGCGGGAGAGAAGCGAGATGCACATCTTACCTTTTCAGCTCCGTCACATTCCTCGCCGTTGTGTCCAGGGAAACACCAAGTTCAAACTTCTCAAACCCGCAACAAGATTTTTTTGCAACGCGACAGAGCTGCCAGTAAGATGCATGTCTTATGGGTGCAATTTGTGGGGTGGCAGGTGGGGCAGGGGATGGGGCAGGGGATGGGGNGGGAGGGAAACACAACAGCCACTCGGTCTTATCCGGGTTGAGCACAAGTTTGTTAGCCTTATGGTCCCTATAAATTTCCCAGTGGATACTCTTGGTATAAGTATTATATTACATTGTTTCAAACAAAACCCAGCAATTTGTCAAGTTTCCCCCCCTCCCAGTTCCCAGCATAGTTGCTTAATATTCTTTCATTATTCCATTTTCAGAGTATAATACAGCTCCAGTTTCATAGATCTAAAGCATATGATTCAATTCCAAAGAATGAGTTCTAGTGTAAACATTCAAAGCTTCCTTTATATCTTTGTCTGAGTTTCTAGAATGGAATTCTTTCTCTTTTTTTTCTGCAAAAGATGTAAGCTATTGTCTAACTCATTAATTTGTTTGAACATATCCCAAACTGTCCTCAGGTTTCCAATCATTTACTAAATATATCAATATTTTTCAATGCTTTTGTTATTGATTAAGAAACCGACTGGTCTAGCAATGACATATTGAATGAAATACCATATCTCTCTAATTTGAATTTTCTTACCAATAGTAAATAATAATATAACTGTAGCATGACTAGAAACTTTAATTTAGCCGGTATTACACTTTTCAAGTAAACTACCTATAGACTGAGGCATTAAAGAATAATTTTCACTTAAGAATATCGGATTGTTAATGTTATACATTAAAGTTTCTGCTTATTTAAATACAATTATCTCCATATATCCACCAGATTAAATCCCTGCTTATTTGGAATATTTGGGTTTTTTGGATATTTTATTATGATAAATCAATGGATCCAAAATTAAATTAAAATCCTAAACTACTATTATCTCATTTTCTTGGAAGCAAAATAGGTTTGCAAACAAAATATAAAATACTTGGTTAATTTATTTCTCTTCCATACCCCAGCCCTAGCTAAACTAACTTTTGTTTGATGAGCTACCATTTTGTTGCAACCATAATTTTTCCACCCTTAACTTTAAGATAGTTTACAGCACTTTTCAAATAAGTCATATAATTTCTTTACTCTAGTATACAATGGATAACCAAAAACTGTTTGCAATTTTGCTGGCAATCAGTAAACTATGTCTAATTTTTTTCTCTGTATTCCATTTCACCATGGTTACCCCAAATTGCTATGTCTATGCATATTGTGTACATTATGCATATAAGTCATAATTACATGCCAATCCGCAATTTTGACAAATTTTCACAAATCTGCTTGATCTGATTTGCGAAAAACTGGCTGCAGTAAGCTTCTTTTCTTTTTTCTTTCTTGTCTCTTTGTTTTCATTTAGTGATTTCCTACATGGTTTCTCTAGAGCAGTAAGACAGTAAGTTTTTTCCCCTCTCAAGATCCTTTCCCACTTTTAAAAATTATGCAGGTCCCCTTAAGGTAAACATTGATAATTATAACCCATACAAATGAAAGAGCTTTTAGGCCACACTTTGAGAAACCCTGCTCTGGAAAACATGTGGCGGGAGTGAATTCTTTGTTATCCTTCTTCCCCATCAAATAGCTTCCCCATTAAATACATGATCAATCATTTCTGTGTATACCCAAATCGCTGAGCAGTGCAGTTTTTCTGATATTATTGGTAGAAGGTGACTTAGCCATATCCTCATTCTTTGCCCTCCAGGCAACTGCCGCCCTGTTTTGATGATCAAAACCTCTACAAAAACGAGGAAAGCTTCCTATATTGCAATACTTGCATTTTTAGTCCTCATTACTTTTACAGGATCAGAGGACCCGGAAATTGAATTGGAAACCTCAAGAGCTTTCCAAAGTGAGACGAGAGCCAGATAGGAAGGTTATCACTGTCAGTTCCATATGCTTAATTAGAAACTCTGAAGATTATCATTTCCTCCAGTAGAGTGTCAAAGCCGCCTTTGGAATTGAAACTGATCACAAAACCCATATAGAAAATAGGGTTTGTGAACCATAGCTAAAGTCTGTTTATCTGAGGCAACCACTGGAAAGAGAAAAGGGGGGAAAAAACTGCCTGAGTGGCATTTCTCAAGCAGAACTCCTGTAATGCATAATGGAATAATTAGCTATAAACCACTAGTGTCTGTGTAAAAGCTGTTACTCTGTCAAGGTGTAAGGTGTATGCTGCCTTGGCCAGTGTCTTTTACTGGCAAAAATAATTAGCCCTCCTTTGCTTTGTCACTGACTTTGCTCTTTTTCTTTAATATTTAACACTGTGAACTTGAAACATATATCTCTGATGCTTATATAGTGGAAGGGGTTAGGTTCTTTCCCGCTTCCTTCCCTTCTTCAGAGCAAGTAAAGCTTAGAAGAAAGTGAAACTCTGTTGGTGTTATATATCATGTATCCGAGCAATTAAATGTGTGGCAGGCAGGGAGGTTCACCAAAATGAAAGGAAGCTCACAAAGAGCATCATCCACATCCTTATTTCCAGGAATACCCTTATGTTGCCTATCTTCCTGTTGGTGTTCTTAGGAAAAAATAGAAACTGGGAGGTAAGTGAGTGTCCTGAAGAGTTAGGAAAAGTGACAGGGATTTAATATCATCTGCTGGTCTCATGTGAAAGAGACATTTTGAAACTGACCATCTCTTGAAAGATTAGCACTATATCTGAATATGGCAAGTGTTAAACCTCTAACAATTCAGTGATAGCAAAAGGGCTTTTTGAACTTTTTATAGAACTTTTTTTCTTCTTAAGGAAATGTCTTTCTGATGGCTTCAGAATAACAAAGAATTTTTATTTTTGGAGAGCAGCAAAAAAAAAAGGTTATATTAAGAAACTGGAAAAGCAATATTATTCCAAATGTCAAGGAATGGTTTTTTTTGGAAATGTATACTGTATATACTCAAGTATAAGCCTAGTTTTTCAGCCCACTTTTTGGGCTGAAAAAAGCCGCCTCG